ACATACAGCCGCTTGACCACCCAAAACAGTACATCTGTGTGCGGGAGTGTATCTCCAAATAGTTCCTGGGTGCTCGCCGGAGACGTCTCCGATTATCTTCTGCCGTCCCAGCAGTCCCTCCTTCCCTCGCTGCCCATCATCCAATCCCTCCTTCCCTTCCTCATCTCCTCCTCCACCCCCACCTGCACACTCATCGCCCTCACTGTACAACCCCTTCCTCTTTTCTCCTCTTCTGTCCTCCCTCCCTCTTTCCCCCACTCTTTCCTCCTATTATGGAGGTTAGTGGGTGCTCTAATGAGATTTGCTCTTTCTTTCTTATCAAACATCTATAGTTCTGACCTCTCCCCCTTTTTTCGTGTTTGTTACTCTTTTGTAACACATCTAATCTTCGGAACTTATACATTGTATGACATTATTGTTTTGCAAGTGCAGTAAAACTCTTACATAAAGAAAACGTTTTTTTTCTCCCGAACTGACCACTTCCTGCCTCTCTCCCTCACCCCTCCCTCCCTCACCCCTCACCCCTTCCTCCCCAAACACTACACTACCAATGAGGATTGTGACAGGTAAGTTTTTTTCAGAGCATCTGATCAGAAAAATTTGAGGCGAACCATGGTAGCCGATGTCTTGTTTTAGTCAGATCTGACAATTGGATGAGGAAAAGGGGGAAGCAAGAAGAGGAGGAGGGGAAGAGGGGGGAGCAAGAGGAGATGGGGCAGAAGGTGAAGCAGCAGCAGCAGATACATAGAGAGACTCACCACTTGTTGGACTGTGTATCCTTGATGAGGTTGTAGTAGTGTCCTCCCTCGGCACTTCCAACGTGAACCGTGACACCAATCAACCGATACTCATAGCTCTGTTCCTCCGGTGACGCTGCAGCCTCTCCCTCAGCATCTATCCCAATAAAAAGACATTATTTTTTTCCTTATTTGATAATGTGTTTAACTCGTCACTAAACACAACAATCTTTACATTATTTCTAAATTCCCCCTCCATGAGATTTATTCCCCTTCATCCCCCCCCCCCCTCCATCCCCCATATTAAGCATCAAATGATTGCAATCCTGTAACTCAACGATAATTTCAGTGTCAAATGCAAATTAAAGTTAGAGACAAGCCCATCAAACAAAAATATGCCCATTCTGACAAACCATCCAGCACAGGTAGGTCACTTCGAAAGCTCAGCAAAGAAGAAAAAAGGAAACTGTTGAAATCAACAGAAAATGTTCTCCTCTAAAGATTTTCTCCTTTCACATCCTTTCCTACTCTCTAACAATGTTCTGTCGTCTGCTTTCGTCTCCACTTTCTGCCCCGATTCCCTCACCTCCTTTGCCTCCTCCTCTGGGCTCCCGACTCTTTCTGCAGCTTTTCTACTCTTACGTTTTCTTCTTACTGCTGTCATTCAGCCACACTTCTGATCTTATGTCAGGTTAGATCTAACGCCTAGCCTTCTTGGATAAAGGCAAAAATCTCTGAAGTCTATTCTTATCTATTTTGGACCACCAGGGTCTTTAAGGTACGTCAAAGACCCTGGTGGTCCAAAACAGATAAGAATAGGCTTCCGCCGCCACGCGGGCAAAATTCAAAATTTCCTTCAAACTGAAAAAAGTTTAATGTGTCCCATGCGCTCATATGACCTTATGCAGTTGCGAGAGCCGTAAAACACTTACCAAAAAAAACAAAAAAACTTGAAATAACGTAGAGACAATACAAACAAAATAAGCATCACACACATGTATATCTGGGCTCTGTAATAAACACATGTTGCTTCACTATTACAGAGGGTGAAACCTTTTGCTGGTGAGCAGTGAATGTATTTGTTTGTTCACTTTCCCCCTCCTCTCCCCCCCATAAATAATTCAAAAATAGTAATTAGAAGACTGAAACAACAAGCAGAACAGAAAGCAGAGCAGCAAAATTAACAACAGGAACAATAATAAAATATAAAAGAGGCAAAATAAAAAGGATAAGCAGGTAAATATAAATGCCACATATAACAATTTTGATAGCATTTTAAAAGATCAGTCCAGCCCACCCCCTCCCTCCTTTCAAATGAAATGTCACTTGTAAGAGCATTCATAACAAACCTTTGATTTTGTCTTTGCCAATGAGGTTATGCTCCATGTACCGAGACATGTCCAGTGCGTCTGGGAAGGAGAAGTGCGTGTTGACTTTTTCCTTCATCATGGTCAGCATGTTGAAGGAGTAGCGCAGCGTGTTGAAGCACAGGATGCGAGGCAACTTGCGGAAACATGTCCTGCAGAGAAAGACAGAGAGAGAGACGTTACATGTCACCCAATCAGTTATGCACTCTTTGACCCCTTCCCCAACACACCCGAAAGACACTTTTAGTTTTACACCCACCCTTGACGTGGATACCACCCTAGAGCAAATAAGTCTCTTTTATTTTTAAGAGTCATATAAAATCTCTTGGTACCGGTTTTATTGTATTTTCAATGTTTTCCTGTTTCATATTCTTTAAAGATTTATTTTTGTACTGCAATATGGAATAACTAATAAAGACAACTACATCTAAAGAAGTTCTTTTATGAAAGGGTTAATTTCTTTTGTTATTTTATATCCAACAGTGATACTAGTAGGGACAAGAAAATTTCTTCTCACGACTTCTCTCTGTAAGTCAATAATTTAGTTGATGCCATACTAAACTACACAGCAGATTTCCCTGGTTCTAATCCCCAATGGGGCATTCTTGAGCCTAGGTAGCAGCGTAGAGAATGTTCAAGGCTCTCCACTCTATTCAATCTAACCATATGAAGAATTATTTAACATCTAAGGCCAAGCTCTTTAATGACTTTACAGTATTTACAGAGGCGTTTAACTCATACCATGTCACTAGTTCCTGACATAAGTGAAGCTGTAAAACTAACAAGTACGGTATATTTACAATTTCCAGAAGACAGAAAGAATCTCCATGCGTACCTCTTCTCAGCCCTGACTTTCTTGTGGCAATGTGAGCATGTGTACATGTTGTCTCCTTCCAGCATGTCCTTCACAGTTACTTCATCCAGGGATTCCTGAATAAAAGATCACAACACATCAGGAAAATTCTCAAATCAGTCCAGAGCTAGCTTGTCTTTGTTTCTGTTAACAGAAGCACATCGACACATACATGGTCACATAATGCGAAGAAAAGGCTGTTTGAGTAAAAAGAACCATATCAGCACAATAATGGGCATTTAGTGCTGGGGAAAAAGGAAAACAGATAGACAGAAATAACAGAGGAAAAATAAAGAAACGGGACCTGCGAGTAAAGCCTTCCAACCATGTGTGTTAAAAAAAAAAAAGAAAGACCCAATACAAGAGCGACAGAAACAAACAGAGGGAAAGAAAAGAAATAGAATCTACAAGTGGTGCCCTCCAACCATCCGCAGTCAAGATCATCAGAGACATCTGAAGTAAGAACAGACTGTGTATTTAAGACTGACATATAATATTCTGGTAGTAAAGACAGTGTAGGTGTGTTCAACTTGAAAACACATTGTATGTCTTTTCTTTTCAACATTTTTTTGAGAGTAATGAGAAACCACTAATAAAAAAAAAAGTGATGGAAAAAATTGATGTAAAAGTTTACACAACCTTTCTAAAATTTTAGAATGGTATAGAAAACAACCATTCAAACTTTTTTTTTTTCATGGACTTATATTAAACAGAAAAAGGAACATAATCTATCAACAATCACTGTGACTTTATTTCACTCTTGAGATTTTACATCCAGCAAGAGATACATTATGTACTCACATACAAATCCTTCATGTGGGCCACACCACACCGCACTGTGTAAAACTCTTCAAACGTCCGGCTCACATGATTACAGTCCTGTAATTGAACAGTAATTTTTGTGTCACAGGTTAAGTTTCTGTTACAGACTAACCTCACCAAACATAAATACTTCCATTCTAAAGTGGGGATAATCAAAAGCATTTTAAAGGTTGTAAATGTTTTAACCCCACATCAAATCAATTTTAAATTATAGAATTATTTTGCAGGTTTATTGCTTTGACCTTCCCTGCCAGAGCCAATCCATGGGTAAACCCTCAACGACCGCATGTGTCATATTTGGCACATTAAATTAAGAAAACAATATTCTGAAAAAGTTAATCTTGATGGACCATAAGCCGGTATTCTCTACTAGACTAGACCTTGCTTTCTAGAAATGGATCCATCACATATTTTTCTAAAATTAAGAGTGAAGTCCATTTTCTAAATATAATTTTCATATACCATTTCAAATTTCATGATTTTTTCACTGTAATTAAGTTCAAGTTGGCATGGGTTAAGTGGGATACAGCATCCCAGCAGACACACAATAATTCCCTTCTTACGAATCAGAGTCATGCCTTCTACTGTAGTGAAGAACCTTTCCACTCCACCTCAGACACAGGCAGAAAATCAAAACGAAACAGAAGAAAAAGAAAAGAGGTAAGACCGATCACAATTACCCTCTCACCACTTGTCTCCAAACACAAATGAATAATACATAACCACAACAAAGACTAGCATACGAACATACGTACACACTTATAATCAATTTCTTAAAACTATTCATATAATTTTTTTTTCTATTTTAGGAATGTGAGGATTGCTAGCTTTAAAGTTAAAAATATATAGTTGTGGCCGACACATATGTTTATCCTTGCTTGGCAGCTCAAGTGATATCATCAGCTTAACTCTTTTGGTACCTGATGTGGAACTTACAAATACACTTGGCATGTACACAAATCATTGTCCAAACAAACTAGTATAATACACCTCACAAACTGCACACTCATCATAGCACTATCAGTAGTACTACTCACCAAAGACACAACATTGTTCGTGGTCTCCCCTCCAAACATTTCCTTAATGACCATTTTCTGTGGAGAAAAAAATTATATATATTCCCTATCCTGAAAAGAACACAAAAGATAAAAATCCTAACATAGCAAGAATTAAAAGACATCAGTTCCAAGGTTTCATCAGTAGCACAATTTCTGATCAGTTCATGAAATCCTTTGCCTTTTTTATAAAGCTGCCGTGAATGGGTTTTCATATCTATTATGCACTTTGCTTGAATTTCACATAAAGAGAAACTTAGTTAACAAATCGAACACTCCATAAAAATGCATCATCTCTGTCAATTCTTTATTCTTACTCCTAATCCAACTAACCCAGCTTTTATGGTGAATAAACCATTGGCTGAAGCCCTTACTTCCATCAGTATGTATAATAGCTTGTAATGACAACTATCTGTGGCGCCGGTGGCCTAGAGGTTAGGCTACCGGTCTCGTAATCTTGAGATTGTGGGTTTGGGGGTTCGAGCAGTGGGCGCGACGTTCTTTACGAGAATTTTCCTCACTTCACCCTGGAAGGAATAGGTACCTGGCTATAGACAGCGAAAGATCTTGTCAATATGTTAGTGTTTTAGCGCCTATAAATGGCCGCTTGCACTGTATGCTTCCCAGGAAGTTGAGGTTGTTTCAGAATGCTCTCAGGTCTGCTAGGGTAATAGTATAGATTGTGAAGCGCATAGAGATTGCTGTTGAGCGGGGATTTGCGCTATACAAATGCTATCTATCTATCTGCAGTTTCAAAAATCAATAAAAACGTCACAGCCCAAAAACTCTGTGCATGCTAGTTTGGTCCATGTTTGGGACACATATTAAAATTTAAAAATAAAAAAGTGCATGCCACTAGATTTAAAGACACCTGTGCCCCACTTATAGATTACACTTTACAACAGCAGAGGTGAAAGGTGAAAGCTTGCTTGCAGCTGGACCAACAACAAGAACAACAGTTTCATTATATACATCCATGGCCTCTGGCACAAACCATCCAAGTCTGAAGACATACTTTTTACAGGCATAGGAATAAACAGATTTTCTCAAATCTGGCAAATGAACATAGATGATTTGATCACATGACTGTTTGGCACATTTATACTGGTCTGATGGCTGCAATATAAACTAAAAGACCTTGTGTAAAATCAGATTTCCTTGATACTTAAAGCATAAAAAGATCAAACGAAAATTTGGAGGGAGATGGATGATTTATGCCAAAGGCCGCTGACATATTAATCTCGAGAGAGCATGTGCACTGACCATCTGACCAGAGGTTTCCTCCAGCTTGGTGATGATGTCAGTGAAGAACTCCTGCATGTCCTTCTGTTCTCCTGTGTTGAGGGGACACCGGTCCATCATGTATGTCTTACAGAAGCTCTTCGGGTTGTAGGCCCGACGCTCACTCTCCTGCAGTAGGGGGAAAAAGAGAGGAATGAAATGAAGAACGAATAAAAGAATTATGAAATTAATAATAAACCAATGTAAAGAGAAGCATACTAACTCAACGATTGTCATATACAGCAAGGGGCAAAAAAAACGAGACGGACAGAACAATATAGCAGGCTAGCCACCACCCAAAGAAATGAATTAATAAACTAATAAATACCAAATGAAATTTGTTTTAAAAATCTGGTTTATTCTCCAAATCCAGTCACTCATTTATTGGCTCAGGGACATTGATAAACTTCACAACAAAACACCTTAATCTAACCACAAATACTTAAAAAGTTATAACACACATTCACATATTTTCATTCTTTTTTAGCCCCTTGCAAAAGGGGCATTGAACTAACTGCCTGACATGGGGATGGAAAAGACAAGACAGCCTCCAGTACAAAAATAAACGGGTACCTGTAAGTAAGCAAACATGCGCTGTAGCTCCATCATCATGGCCGCATGTGGACGGTTGTCATTGACCTGGAAGTAAAAGTGAGAAAAGATGAAAAGAAATTGTCTTTCATGAGCTAACTGTACCTTGTTTATGTGTTGAGGATAGCTCAGGAGCAAAAAATTCCATCTACAACAATGACAGAAGGCATAGTTTTACTCAGATCATGTAGCATTGAAACCCTGCAAAGATCATTCACAAGAATGACAAAAACTCAGATCACGTTGAATTGAAACCCAGCTAAAATCATTCACAAGAATGACAAAAACTCAGTGATCAATTGGCATTGGGCTAAATGTTGAACCTTGAGGGTCACAGTACAGGTAACTTAATGATGATAATAAATAACAACAACGACAATAATAATAATAACAATAATACTGGTAATAAAAACAATAATAATAGTTATTATTATAATGACATTAATAACAATAATAATAATAATAAAAATTATTATAATAATAATAATATATCACCAAACCTGGAAGTGCAGCACAGACTGTCGCAGCCTCGGGATCATGAACAGCTGCTGTACGGCCGTGGCCATGTAACACGTGGCTCCCAGGTTGGTGAGGCCCACGTAGCCACACTTGGCCCGGCCATCCTCTTGGGGCCAGTACTCCCAGGGGTAGGGCGCATGGGCCTCTGAGAATACAGGGCACAAGTCATTGTTTGTTTAGTTTGTTTGCGTTTTATTTTCGTAAGTGTTTTATGGCATTAAAGTACAAAAAGGTCATAAAAGTGCTGAAGGTTTCACAAGAGGGAAACAAACACAAAAAAGGATAGATAAGGACAATAGATGTTTGATAGGAAAGAGGAAGCAAACCAGCCTACATACTGAAGCACCCATCACCCACCCACATTTTTTGCTTGAGTAAATGGAACAACATTAACATAATTACAGCCATTTAGTGTTGGGCTAGCAGCAAATCACTTGACACATCTTTTTCTTTCTAAAAATAAACTTGGGGCTGCAGCCCAATATCAGAGATCAACTTTTATCATACCCATGTCTACAGTTGAGGAAAACTTGGGAGGCCAGTTCTGATAAGGTAGACCACTCGTGCTTTCTTTTGATCCGGACACCTCTGGCTGAGTTGCACAAGAAACGGTTAAACCACTTTTTAACATAACTTTCCCAATGCAGGAGTCCACAGTTCCTAACTTTAAAAAATCTTTGAAAACAAGCATGTACCTCTAGTGTTCTGTTTCATGAACTTGTCCACAGCCAGGGAATAATGTTTCATGTTGCCACTACACATCTCTGCAATCAGGTCGTAGGCTGCTTGCCGCGTCTTCTGACTTTTGCACTTTGGCAAGTGTGGAGAGCGAGGGCTAGGCACCAGGAAGAGGAAGTCAAACAAGGCGTCCAGGAAGCGCTGCAGAGAAAAATAAAATGGACATGAGATCTAAACATGCTTTCAGCCATTCTGCAAAAACAGCTCAAAATGTTAAAAAATAACACTAAATTTTGAAAGATACAAGGTCCTTTTATGCTCTATATTTCAAGAAGATACAAGCATTCTGACCATCAGAGGGGAAAAAACCATATCATTAAACTACTTTGAAAAATAGAAAACATCAAAAACTGACTCTGAATTGCTGACAGGACAAATCTTTCCCAGTCAGAGAAGTAAAATGTGGTATGCAAAACATTAAAAACAAGACATCCTGGAAGACGTTTCACTCACTCCAAAGGCTTCAGGCCTTTCATTTACAAGAATGAAGAGTAAAGTATTTGAAAGATTGAACAAAAATCATAAATCTAATACATTTATTCAGAACAAATACAAGAGTGCCATACATGAAAAAAAAAAGGTAGCAAAAATATAGTTCAAACTGAAGATTTAAATAAAAACATGACGTAACCCATCATCTCTTACCGTATTTTCCTCTTGAAGAAAAAATGGAGGCTTGTGTCTATAAATAGCTGTGGCTACATTCAGCAATCCTAGCAACCCCTCATCCTCTTCAAAGCCTTTGTGAGTTTCGTAAAATGGACGATTCAGGACATCATCCGTCACTTGTTTCAAAAGAGTGTCCATGTTGATATTGGTCTGAGAAAAAAAAAGAAAAAGAATATAACACATGAGGTCCTAAAAATTTCTTTTTTAATTTCAGATATAAGACATGCACTTAAAGTAGGCTTCTAAATATAAGACATGCACCTAAAGTAGGCTTCTAACCTTGAACCTCATTTCACACAAAACCACTGACCCGTACCCAGCCGTAAAGTGAACTGCGAATAAAATTAACTTGTGTTTCGTGCGCTCATATGACCTTATGCAGTTGCGAGCGCCGTAAAACCCCAAATAAAAAAAAAACAATTTTTCAGACAAAAGGAGGATTATGAATACAGATCACGACCAGGAATATCCCAGTGACAGAGAAACACTGTTGAGAAAACTGCCAAGTATTATTTAAATTCGTTCGAAAATATTACCCAATCTTAAGAGAAAAAAAAAACATATAGAAATGGGAAAAAGAACTAAAGTAGATGAACGTTGAAGTTTTGTCAGAGATTTGAGAACAAAGCAGGTAAATCTAAATTTCCAGAGTGTCAAAACAGCAAAAGAACAAGTTGTCTACCTCTTCTTCCATAACCGAGAAAAAGGTAAGGAATCTTGTGCATCAGCATTTCCTCTGAAGAAATTAGTAACTCTCAGTGTGTAGATATCAAACCCAGAGAGAATCAAGAGAATTTTATAGAAGGTCTGTAGAAATGGATTTCACTTTTCATTAGGACACTGATCAGTATACTGTTTGTGTAAACACAGATTTACATGCCCCTTTAACAGTAGCAACAGTAACTGCCTACTGGCCAGCCATATGTGCCTCACTGAAAGGGGAACACCAGGAGGAGACTATTGAGCAATCATCAGTTCCACTACTGCTCTCCCAGACATCTAAAGAGACAACTTAATTTTTTTAAAATTTTAGTAAGAGTTTTACGGCACTTGCAACACAATAAGGTCATATAAATGCCGAAGATTAGAGGTGTTACAAGAGAGTAACATACACAAAAAAGGAGGAGAGATAAGGACGATAGATGTTCGATAGGAAAGAAGGAGCAAACCACACCAGAGCACCCGCCAACCACCCAGAGACAACTTATTCCTCCAGCAGCCTGACAGCGAAAATACTGTGTACAAGAATACATGCCATATGAACACAACTACACATCACCTGTACCCACTAGTGTTTGACATAGGGCAGGACAGTGGGAGCCCCTGAGCTGCTGAACTGATCACAACAACAATTCATAGCTTGTTTGTTTGTTTGTTTTAGAACAGGTTTTACGGCGCTCGCAACTGAATAAGGTCATATGAGCGCCAAGGGGTGAATGTCAACAGAGAAGTTCTTACAGGGAATCAGACTTACTCTGCTCACCTCTCTAGCTTCAACAGCACAGTCCGCTTCGACTATCAAGGCACCCGGGAAATAGCGGGTCATAAGAGTGTGACAAACATACAAAAGAAGTAGAGGAAAATGACGAAAGTAAGGATTAGGAAAGAAAAAGCAGCAGTTCCCTGTTGTAGTTCAGGCACAGTTATGAGCATGACATTGTTGGATCAGCCCATTTACAATTCTACTGTGCATTAGGACGAGAAATGTCCCCACTTTGGGAATGGCCTAAAGACACTTCAGTCAGTGGCACCGGCCCACGGGGTGACAGCTTGGTTGAGTAGAAAGAAACCCATTGACATGATAATGCTCATTTAGAGTGAGGAAAGAGCAAGGCAGACAGGCAGACAGAGCAAAAGCGGGAGAGGAAAAAAAAAGTAGTATCTTCCAGTTATGCCCACCAACCACCCACACTACAACAACAATAACAAGCACAGAGCAACAACCACAACATCAATAGCAGAAACAGAAATAACAAACAAACAAACAAAAAATATCCCCCAACAACAATTAATAAAACAAAAACCAAACCAAAAATACAACAACCTGCTGAGCATCCAGCTCATCCAGACACATGCGTATAAAGATGAAATAGTCGTGACATCCAGCACCATAAATCTCCTTCTCTTCCCTTGTATAATCCATCTGCAACAGAAAAAAACAAACAAATAACACATATATTTACCTCGGACAAAGACCTTTCTTTTCCTTTCACATACAAAGACCATTCTCCTTCTTCTTTCACTGACAACAACCATTTTTCTTCATTCCTTTTTACAACAACCATCCTTCTTATTTTGCTTACAACTATTTGTCTTCTTCCTTCCCTTTCATCCACCATTCTCGTTCTTCTTTCGCATGACCTCTTAGCAGGAGTCACCAGCAGGTTGTTTCTCAATCGAAAAGGCGTACGGTCTTTAACATCTACATGGATGAACTTTAACATTCTAAAATTCACACTGAAAACACCTGCACCACTGCAACTAGAATATTACCTTTTTAATGACAACCATCCTTTCTCTACCCCTTGTTGAAGACGTGCCATGCACACCATACATTTCAGCTTTTAAAAGTAGAATGTCAGAAAGTAGAATAGTGAGCACGGTAAACATTATAGGATTCCACCCATTGTCAGACACTTGGCTCAAAAACAGGAAAAGGTACGGAAAATAGCCATGGTGAGTAGTATCCTCAGACTCCATGCAGCCAAAACACTACTTTCTCCTTTTGGCAAGCAAAGAATAATCTATTCAAAGACACAGTCGTTAATAATTCTGTTTCTGGGTTATTTTCCTTTCTCCCAAAGCTACTCCAGTTGTTTTTTACCAAACTCACCTTACTTTAAAAGTATGAAAATGTATTTCACTAAATTCATCATACATTTATATGTTTAAAAGTACTTCACCAGACTTACCTAATCTTTCTTATGGTAAAAAGTATTTCAAAATACCCATCTCATATTTTTGCTTTTAAAAGTATTTCACCAAACTCACTGAATACTTCTTAAGTTCACACTTGCTTTAAAATAACCCACCTCGCATTTCTTCATTTCAAAGATTTCTTATGCCGTCTACTCATCAATCCATGTTTTTGTCTGTTTTTTAATCATCTTAGAATTTTTAGGTTCAAGCAATTCTGATGCCCTTTATGAAAATAATAATTTTTTAATGTTTCAATAAATTCACCTCATATTTCTTAAGCTCAATCAACTCTGACGTCATGTAATAGAATGTCTTTTTTTTAAAAACATTTCCCCCAAACTCACCTCATATTTCTTGGGTTTAAAAAGTTCAGAGTCGGACAAGAAGGTCAACAGCTGCTCAAGGACAGGTCCCAAGAAAGTGGTGACTTTCTTGTCCTGTCTCGTGCGACCCAAGCACAGGCGGTGCAAACCCAAACACGCTTGTTTGCGGACGTGGGCCTTGAAGAGAGAATGCACAGAGTGATATGAACAAAATAAAGACCAACACATTTGGTGATCCTTCAAGTACGTTCACAAGAAAACAAAAATGCAACATCGAAGGAAATGCTCTGAGAACAAAAGAAATTTTGATGAAAAACAGCAAATAAAGAGACTCTACAATAAAAGGTGAACCAATAAGAACACACACATGGCAAAAAAATATGAGAACACAAATAGAGTCTACAAGAAAATTTACACACTGTGACAAAAAATTGTACAAATAAAAAAACAACCTTAAATAAACAAACACACATCAAACTCTCTCTCTTTCTCTCTACCCCCCCCCTCAAAGAGATATACTCTGATACATATAATTTAATTTACTCTCTCTCTTCCCATCTCTCTCTCTCTCTCTCTGTGTCTCTCTCCCCCTCCCCTCTCCCTATCTCTTAACTCTTTAACCATGTCTGGACAGTGGCAGCGTCTGGTAGTCGAGGTCCGTAACCATGGCTGGACGGTACCACTGTCCGATGCGACGTTATTACTGTATTATGGTACGGGCCAAATATAAAAAAGTATGAGCCAATAAGCCTTTAGTTTGAGCTGAAAGTCAAAGATAAATGAATTCTACGTCTGGGTAATGCTTTATTGTCCAGTTTGACACAAAACAAGCGGTTTTAAAAACGTAATACGTTGGGTCATATTTCTACAAACACGAGAGAATTACGCGGAAACTTGATTTTAAATTGCATGGTTAAAGAGTTAAGTCTCTCTCATACACACATGCACAGACACCCTTCCATATGCTATATGTCTCTCTCTCTCTCTCTTTCTCTCATATACAAACAAACATGCCCACAAACTGACATTGATCCATATTTTCTCTCTCTCTCTCTCTCTTTTCTCTCTCTCTCTCTCTCATACACTCACAAACACAAAAGTACCTCAGGAGCTTCCAGGGTTAATCGCTTGAGCCAAGAGTGAAAGTTGTCCGCACTACAAAGGTACTCCAACACTTGTGGGCACGAGAAAGCCAGAGATACCAGGAAGGACATGGCGTGCTGCACAACTGGGAAAAAAACAAACACATAAATACATTACACACAAACAAGTACACACACGTTACACACACCCACAAATATATTAAACATGTAAACAAAACAAAATACAAAATACACAAAAATTATATTAACCTCAATCATCAAAATACAAGTATGAAATGAAATTAATCCTTTCCCTGGACACATTGTAACCTGCATTTTCTGGGACGCTTTGGCATAATTTCCCATAAGCCCTAATGTCAAAGAATTACCCCCTCCCCTCTAGACAAGTGAAGTATACATTTTTAAAACAGTAAAGATAGAACTGTGCCAATCCCCCTCCTAACCTTCAAAGAGGAAAGGTTCTGGGAAAAAGAAAGCAAGACTGACAGTAACAACTGAGGGTAAGAAAAGAAGTAGGATCTACTAGTGGTGCCCTCCCATCATTGGCTGAGAATGTGGCCAATAGTGATGCTTTTAACAAGAAGTCCAATGGAACCTAGGAGAAGGGATAAAATACAACACTTACCTTCTCCCCGACCCCAAGTCCCACAGTACAACTGATTAGAATCCCTGTGGAGAAAAATAGCATCAAAATTCAGTCAAAAGGACAATAGGCCTAACTGCAGTCTTATTCATCAACAAGCTCGCATGCAAAAACAATTCGGTCCAACCATTTCAAAAGTCGCTGGACATAAAATCAGGAAACATGCAGAACAAAATATATAATAATGTGATCTAAAAGGAACAGAACAGAGCTTACAGCAAAAATGCACATGCACACCCCCCATACGGACAGACACATACACACCTAAACAAATGTATACATACAAAGAGGAATAATTACAACATGAACCATTCACAAAGAACACAATTTATAGATCACTTTCCGCTAAAACCAAATAAACAAAAGTATTAGGAGACATTTTCAAACCGGATGCACATCTTTTCTTGACTCAATAAAGCTGCATCCAAAGTCAGTCATCAAGCATCCTGTTTTCCACTATTTTAACCTCTAAAGTGGGTTTATGCGAGAGATAAGTGACATTCGCTGCATCTATCTAAGAGGCAAATCACCAACATAAGTCTCGACTGCTGCATACAAGTATACTTTGCGACTCTACTGGGAGAGCTGACAACTATAAACCATGTTAAAAAAAAAATAATTTTAATCCAAGATATGTACTCACATTGGCATGGCTGCATCATATAAAATCTGCATTAGGATCTTCACAACTGCTTGGACATCCAGCGAATCAAGCACAGACTGAAAAACAAACACAGACCATTAACAAAAATAGTTTCTCATACTGCCATCTATGTACAGAAAAGTGGGAAGACATGGAATAACATCAAGAGGCTAGCGCAGGACAGAGAAAGGTGGAAAGTGTCTGTCCATTTAGTTTAGTAAGTGTTTTACTGCACTTGCAACAAAATGAGGTCATATAAGTGGCGAAGATTAGAGGTGTTACAAGAGAGTAACAAACACAAAAAAGAAAGAGGGTAGATCAGATAGGACAATAGATGTTTGATAGGAAAGAAGGAGCAAACCACACCAGAGCACCCACTAACCACCCACTGTTTGTCCATGGCCTATCTTCAGAGCTTTTCCCAGCAGCTGATGTCATATATCGAGGATTTTCGGGTCCAGGGCAGAGCCCTGTCAGGGGGTTGAAGGGGGACAGCGTCCCCTTTATGTTTGAGAATTTTTGGTTTCAGGGCATCCTAAGTATGCCATTTCTGGCTATTCAAGCCTAAATTTAACAAGAAAATAAGTGAGAAAAAAACCATACCTTGCATAGGCCTACATAATTTTCTGCTTGTGTTAATCCATATATTTCCAAATCCAAAGCCATGCTTTCTCCCTTGTACTGATACTGTACATCCACAACTAAATCTATAAAACTTGACAGTCAATGTTCAACTTTTTTCTGCTTGTGTTGGTTTACACCATAATCATCATAAGGTGTAGAATCCTTATAAAAATAGTATAACAGCTTGACTTGATCTAGATCTAGATTCTAGATCTAAATAACTTGACAGCTTATATTCAACTTAAATCCACAAAAATACTTACAAATAAACAAGCCTGGTAAAAAAAATCAAACTCTCTTTAGAGTTTTCTTTTCTTGGCAGGCCCAAGATCTATTGAACCACAATCGTCATTTCTTCCTCTTGTTTACATAGCTGGTGCTCTGCTTCTTGAGCTTTACAAAGTGAAAGTGAAAGACACTGTCTACACTTTCAAATAAAAGAGCACTTCCGGTATGAGTTGGCTATTGTTGACTATTGGTAATAACGTAAATTTTTTATTTCCCATTTTTGAAAAAAAAAAAATTTTCACGAATTTTCACTGACATTTTTCCATTTGCGGAATTCTGCTAATTTGCGGAAATCCGCAAAATTGCGGAAGACTGAAAGTCCTGTATCATGGGGCCATGTTTCCAACCTAACCAGGGTTGACTCTGACAGGCAGGGTTGAGGCAGCTTGCCTCCAAAATAATCTAAATTGTATCCATACATAACATATTCGATTTATGGAAAGGCCTCATCCTTCATTCTAGGCAATTGCTTTTAATGCATAACTGTCTACTACGTTGATGCTTTTCATTTAAAGACATTTATATCCCTTATCAGAAGCAGAATTTCAGTTCATTGTTAAATGGCAATTTATTTCCTTACTTTAAATTTTTTGTGAGTTGAAAACAATAACTTGCTTCGTTTTCTTTAAATATCCATACCATTAGTACATCTTCCTCCTTTAAGTTGACTTTGAAAAAAAAAAAAAAGAGGGGGGGGGGTGTGGAGAGAGGACAGGAGGGCAGGAGTGAGAGAGCAAGAGAAGGGTAGTGGAAGGGAGAGAAAAAAAGAGAGAGAGGAGGAGAAAGAGAGAGAGAGAATACAAAACTGCCTAAACGCGCCACAAAAGTACTCTAAAATGTCCGCATTAAAGAAACCAGCAATGATGACCATGCCCACCCGAAAAATAGCCAGCTTGTCGTACCTGAGATATTGTGTATATGACTAGAGAGCTGCTTTTTTTGTTGACTGGCCGCCGTAGCCTTGAACCACTGGCCTCCGTCTCACTCTGCGCAGGCCCATCCACAGAGAATTGGGAGATCAGCCGTAGCAGATATCCCAAACACTCCTGGTTCCACTGAGAAGGATGCAAACAAATTTGCTATGAGTTCGAGTAAAGAGAAACACATCAACACAATGACAGTCATTTACAGCAGGGAAAGACAGACAGACCGACAGACAGGAAAGAAGACAAGACATACCTGTCCTCCCACTCAACAGCATGTTTAATGAAGGGATGGGAGGTTTGGAAAAATAAAAATATCAATGCTTACAGCCTCTATTTCTCTTAAATCATAACCAGGTCTCCCCACCCCCCTTTACACAAAAGGAAAGAAAAAAAAAAAAGAAGAGAAATTGACGGATTCTTCTAAATAAGCAACAAAATGACAGGGAGAAACTTAATTCTCCACAAGAAAATAAATTGAACGTTTGGACCGAGTCAAAAATCAAACACCACAAAACAAAATGAGACTTCAAATTTTCCCCTTCAAGAAGTCTTTTATTGAGTATGTGGCATGCTGTATCCCATACTAAATGATTTCTCAGAACGGGGTCCGGTGTAAACACAAGAACCTGTGGTGCAAGAATTCAAGCTACAAAAAACCGTCAACAAAGTGGGCTCACCAACCGTTTGGCACTTTATTCTTTTTTTTTTCTTGGTGTTTTACGGAGCTCGCAACTGCATACGGTCATATGAGCGCGCGGGACACACCTAATATTTTCAGTCGGTAGGAAATTTTGAATTTTGCCCTGGCGGCGGCCGAAGCCTACTCTTATCGATTTTAGACCACCAAGGGATCTTTAACGTACGCAACTTGCACACGTGCCCTCCGAGATTTTTCACCCTTGTCCGAGAAGGCTAGGTGTAGATCTTTCCTACCAGAAGATCAAGGGTATGGCAGAAAGACAGCAGTAAGAAGGAGCAAAGGAGTAGCAGTAGAAAGGCTGCAGAAAGAGTCAATAGCCCAGAGGAGGGGGGAAAGGAGGTGAGGGGGGTGGGACAGAAAGAGGAGACAAAAGCAGACGACAGAACATTGCTAGAGAGCAGGAAAAGAGGTGAGAGGAGAAAATTTTAGAGAAGAGAATTTTTCGGTCGTTACCCGGATTCGAACCCAGGACCTTTGAATGAGAGGCCAACACCTTAACCTCTAGGGCGCGAGAGCTCCCACACTTTATTCATTGGACAAACAACATCAAACAAGATTGAGTACAAGAAGGAACTTTACTTAAATATTCATCCAGCACAGAAACCTTTAAAGTCAGTTATCTGAAACTATTTCAGCAATGTTGATGAATTGTTCATTTCATTAAAAGCATGCCTGTCAATGCAGTTTGAACTTTTTAGAAATTGAACTGACTCACAGCGGGAAGAAAACAGCTTCCAGTGTAACAAACCAACAAATCATCAAACACAAAACATTCTGAACATGTTTAATGAAGGGATGGGAGGTTTGGAAAAATAAAAATATCAATGCTTACAGCCTCTATTTCTCTTAAATCATAACCAGGTCTCCCCACCCCCTTTTACACAAAAGGAAAGAAAAAAAAAAAGAAGAGAAATTGACGGATTCTTCTAAATAAGCAAAATCCCTATTAAAATGCTATCAGATATGACGTCACATCAAACAATAGCGCTGGTACTGTACTGATCAACATTTCATGTCCTGTGACTATGCCACATATGGTTAATTATGCCAGCCTGTACTGGAGAATACAGCTTTCAGTGCGACAAACGGCACAATTTCAAAACATTCTGTATATGTTTGGGGAAGAAAAGAGATCTCGGGAAAACTAAAAAAAAAGAAAAATGCTCACAGCCTTTACCTGTCTTGAACTAACGCCCCCCCCCCCTCCCCCTTATGCAAAAGAACAAGAACAAATTAATGGATTCTTCTAAATCATCCCCATGACAATACTATCACATTTGGCATCACATCAAACAATAGTGTTTGTGATCTACATTACATGTCCTGTGACTATGGTACACATAACTGATTATGTCAGCCAGTACTGGAGAATACTGGATGCAGTGAGAGCACATAAAATATCAGCTTTGTTGCATCATCTTGCATCTCTTCAGGTTTCTCTTGCACCTCTTTGTGGCTAAATCTTTCTCTATTCTCTTGACTTCCCTCTTCCGTTCACTTCAAATTTTAAAAAAGGTACAGACAATAGGCAGGGGGCCTAATAGATAAAAATTCTCGTGCTCCAACTTACCTGACTCCATACATTTCCTTCCTTGGACTGAAGAGAACCATTCATGAAGATATCCATTAGATGGCTCAGGCCTCCTTTGGCGATGAACTGTGCATTTAGAGAAGAATGAAATAGAGAAGAAAAAATATATATTAGGAGGAATATTGCCCCAAGGGAAGCAAAGACAGAAATCAATATCGCATCTCACCATTCTGGACCAATAATACTCTGCATTCACATTAGGACTTCAACATTTAAAAAAGCACAGAGAAGCCAATCAACACAATAAGTCACCAAGTGCAGTAAAAAAGTAAGACAAATTGACAGACCCAAAAGACAGATAGAAAAAAAAGCAAGGCACTCAACTTGACTCAATCAATAACTTATCAAAATGAAGTCGTAACTGACCTTGAACAGGGTTACTGACGGAATCAGTCAACTTCGCACCTATTTTATTACCAGACAAGTTAGACTTGGGAAATTAAGTATTTCATTAGTTATTTCAACTTGACAGGCTATCATAATACAATGGACTTTTCCACCACCTGAACAGACACAATCTAGACTCATATCTATGCCATCCATCTAAATACCATTGTTTCACATTCCCCCCCCCCCCCTCCACTACTGGCCCCCTTGCCCCAAACACAACCCACCACCCCCTAAACACCATCACACATCATAGTCTGCTGCCCCCAAAGCCATAATTTCCTTCAGCCCCCCCCCCCCCCCAAATCACCAAAGAACCTCCAAGGATACCCACCTTGGCACACCAAGCAGTCTTGCCACCACTGCCTGTTTTTTTCTCATCACTGGGATCTCCTGCCCCTTGGCGCACCTGGAAGAAAATGCATAATACATAAACCTGCATGCCATTACATCCTGATGCACATTATAAATGACTCTACCAGACACAACATCTATGAGGCAGCTATAATGTATTCATTTAAACCATAAACCATCACAACCTTACCACATTGAGGCAGAAAAAATATAAACCTATAAACTTATATATGTCACTACATCGCCATGATAATAGCAAACACATACGCTGAAACCTACAAGTCATTACATGGCTGCAGCTTTCATCAAAGTAATGGCCACCAAACCTTTGCGTTTAAAAATAGCAATCTCTTTGTGATCTTCAACCGCACTGACATTTGCTTGGTATGTATATGCTTCATATTATTTGAAAAGACAATGTGGTACCAGAGAAAAATACAAGAACAGAATTTGTAAAGTTCCTTTTAACACTTTGCCCCAACAGGACACAATAAGAAGCCGTACTTTTCCCCCACGGGACGCTGACTGGCGACGGTGTGACATAGCAGGTACCGCATCTGTACCCTGGTCCGTTGGGATAAGTGTTACCCGCTCTGTGCACTGCGTGGGTGGATAGTGTTAGGGTAGAACCATATTAACGCCCAACACTGACAGTTAGACCAGACCCGCCGTTTTCCGTCGCATGCGGCCGACCATATTAACACCGGAGTTTTGCGGACAGACACCGCCGTCTTGCAAATATGGCATGTGGTAGCAGAAAAAAATTATTGTTGTTGTTGCTTTTGAGACGCCGACAAGAAATGAAAACCAAGACAAGAAGATTTTCCGTGCATCCCATCCAAAGAAAGCGTGATACACTAGGTGAATTTCATCATTTGTTTCCACTGTTGTTGGAAGACAGTGAAATTTCCAAGAATACTATCGCATGAACTGCTAGAGATATAATATGCAGAGCTGACAAGAACTGCTAGAATTCTGTGTAGTGTCATTGAGGCGGCAAAGGGGACACAACTACGCAAAGATAACATCATTAAAATTACCTCCCATCTCGCCCGACAAACCGTCTTCCATAGAACATGTTTTATCGGAGACAGTCTGATCGGGGGCGACGCAGGACGTCAGTATGGTAGCTGAAACCGTTTTTGTTACCTTCCATAACTAAAGAGCCGGTGCGCATTCTTTTGTGCCCGAAGACGGTCTGGTCTTACCGTCCATGTCGGGCGTTAATATGGTTGCGGCCTTAAAGAGAATGATTTGAACTTTTACCCACTCTATAACAGTCTCAGCCATACTAAGAGAAAGTAACTGGGAATGTTTCGACCTATGAAAACCAAATTGTCTTCACCGCCATTACCAATGTCATATTTTAAGAAAATTACAATCAAAAGTTTTGACTTTATGTAATATGTTTTATAATCATTCTCTTTTATTTTATTCTCAAAGCTAGATGTATTGGTAAAAGTTGTAAAATCTGGTGTAGTCTGTAATATATCATACTGTAATTGCATTTCCTAAATTTTATTAATTTTAGAAGTTGAAGACAATTTTGCTTTCAAAAGTCTATTACAATGCAGAAAACTCACAGGAAGCCTTTGTCCCAACTTGGTGCCTTGAGCAAGAAATTCCACAATTTGAAGAGAGTAATAGAGGCGGTGAGGGCTGGCAGGGGGTAGGAGCTGACACAGCTCCTCAGGTGTCACCTGAAAAAGAGATGTAGAGATATGTTTATGAAGATTGTGCTTGCTTGTGGTGGCACTAGTTGCGGTGGTGGTTGAGGTAGTGGTTGTGGTTGGGTAAGCTGCATGTGTATGTGTGTGGGTGCGAACGTGCGTCCGAGTGTATGTATATGAGAGACAGAAAGAGAGAGTGAGAGTGAGAGAGAGAGAGAGAGTGAAGGAGGGAGAGAGACAGAGACAGTTGAAGGAAGGGGGGGGGGGGTGTTGTTATGTATGTGTGTGCGAGAGTGGTGTGTGCGCATGCTGGGATGGGGGACATATATCAATGGTTTCGGGCTCAAACCGTTTTGATCTCCAAACTTCCTTCTGTCTTAAAAACTGAAAAACAGTAGGGCAAATTAATCTTGATAAACGCTCACTTCCATGCCCTCACCTGGTCACTGGAGATCTTCATAAATCCCTTGAGCAAGTTCTCATTGGTGGGCAGCACCATGAGCAGCTCCCACACGTCCCGTGACAGACGCCGGGCCTCAGCCTGAACACTCGCACGCTTTTCCTTGTCCTGGCAGAAAAAGAGGGACAAACCGGTTTGGTTTAACACACTATGCAACACAAAAAAAGAAGCCATGGTATAATGAGAGAAAGTGTTTTTTTTTTTTTGTTCGTTTTTGTTACAGTTTATGCAAGATTAATTTTCTCAGCTGAATAAGTTAAGCTAAAATATGGACTAAGGAAAAGAAATAAAAGTAGTCTCTAAAAATGCCCCCATTTTTAAAATGAAAATGAAAAATGTCTGATGTGAAAGGATTGGAAAAGCTTACCGCAGGATAAGGTTCATTCAAAACCTAGACCAAAAAAAATGTCCATTTTCACAAGAAAGTGATAAATACATTACCCAAGAGAGACTTTGCCCACTCAACATAACCCCCCACCCACACCCCCTTCTAATCTTAACATTGCAAATCATTAGGAGAGATGTTATCCATGTGAGGCACACACTGACTGACCACATTGTCCAGAAGAGAGCTGACATCACTCAGCTGACCCAGGAGCGTAAAGAGATTGTCAAAGTGAGGCTCCTGGATCATCAGGTTCATGGGCAACTTGCGACGGTCGGGCACGGGCAGACACGACGAGGGTACAGATCCGTCATTTTTACGCTGTTGTCGGTTGGCCCCGATTGAGACAGACACATGCTGAAAATACATGACAATATATAAAAGTTGCCTTCTGCATTTTGAATTTTGGTTCGAGAGAAAGTAAATTGGGTTTTTTTCTTAATTAAAAGTGAACTTATTTTTCAGCCTATGTTTGCATTACTATGTAGCATTAACATCTGCTCTCCACATCCAGTTAGATTCCAATTAGATACTATGATAATGATGATGATGATAACAATTATGCACAAATCAATAAGTTTTAAAGAAATAAATGAAACAAAGCTGGCATCTATCGTGCCACAATGGAATTTTTTTTTAAACAACACATCTACAAATTCTTTTAAAAAATAAAATAAAATAAACTGAAGTGTCACTGATGCCATGTTGCACAAAATAATAAATGAACAGATTCATAAATCTAAAATGAAAGAAACTAAAGTTACACTCAGGCTGCCCCGTAATAAATAAGCACTTTCAAAAAGCAATAAGTAAACAAAAGTGATGTACATCATGCCAAGTTGAAATAACATTTTAAAAATACTGACACAAACTTTTTACAAATGAAATAAACAAAAGCCACTTCCCCTGTCACATTACACCACGCCACGCCACATTGCACAGCTCACCTGTCCGTCCGTCATGTGCAGGTCGGCCAGCGTGCGCTCGTCCACATCCACGGTTAGCTCCTGGCCCAGGCACATCATGCGCAGCGGGCCCTCCCCAAGCATGGAGCCCAGCAGAGGGGACATGATGCCCGGGCTGGAGCTCTGCGGGGCCGGTTTGGGCTGGGCCTTCTGCAGCTCCTCCCACCAGTGGGACACTTCGGCCCGCAGCTCGGAGACCAGGCTGCTCTGCTGCATCTCTATCTGGCTCTGAGGGGTTGATTGAGAATCATCATTGTGAAGAATGTCAGTGTTTTAGGTAACCAATGCAGAGATTTAGATGACTTTGAAGGAGGTGGGCAATTTACACAGTTTGGGACGTGGGCTAGGCCATGAGCCACATGCTTTAGATTATTTAGGAGGTGGGCGACTTCAACCCATGCCTGCTGTCTAGGCTAACCCAAAGTTTGAGTGGGATGCGTCATGAGGGTCATTTGAATGAGTAAAGAGCAACGCATTGACACTTTAACGGCCATTTAGTGCAGGTAATTTTGTTTCTTTGAGTAAAAAATGGACAGAAAGAGAAGACGGAACAAGTTGAGAGCTGTAGGGGAAGGAGTGAAAAGGAAAGAGGTAAGGGAGAGAAACTGAAATAGATGCATAGACATACATACAAATAGAACACGAAAGATGTGAGCACTACCAACACCAACCTCAGAAAGATCAGCAGTCTTCAGGTAGATTGTGATGCTCTGTGGTTTGCTCATGGGCTGATGGCTTGAGATGCCTGCTCCCGCCAGCTGCCACCGGCGCAGGTGGTAAGCATAGCGCTGTCGGAAGGCGTCAAGGTGGTGTTTGCACAGTAGAAGGCCACGTTGGATCACGGCCAGTCGTCCCACCGGGTCCTGAAACCAGATGTCATATTAGTTTTACGCTCTGTCCAAGTAACGGGCCTGATTAAGCAATTCTGAATATCTCGTGGGCCAAACTAGGGGTAAATTGTGTGAAATCGGTTGAAATACCTAAACTCTCAAGAGTGAGAGACTAAAACTGGCATTATACCATTGCTTCCAGCAGGGTCGGACACTTTTAATTTTAATTTTAAAGACAGCCAATTTTGTTTTGAATTAATTCTAAACTTACCACACGCAGATCAGTCACATTTATTATCAATTTCTGAGGTGACTCGCAGACCAGACAAACTGCCTGTGGGCTGAATCTGGCCCTGGGGCTGTAGTTTACCCACGCCCACCATAAACAAATGAGCCACCT